CCACTGCCATCAAGTGGAGCAACCCAGTAGACGGCGTAGAATTGCCCGTGTGGGTTTCTGAGACCTTCACGGCACACTGAAGTAGAACGCTTCATCTCTCTCCCGGGAGAGCGCTAGACGAGGGCAGCTGAGCCATGGCTTGGGTACCTTACCCAGAGGAATTGTCCTGGATCCCGAGTTAACTGAGGATCTCTTGCCTTGAGGGTGCTCAGTGAATGGTGGCCCAGAACTACCGTCTCCCTACTGTCTTAATGCTCTCTTTGCTTAATTGTGACGTGTATTAATCTGGCAGGTATGAATCTGCTGTTGTGAATGAATATTATTAGAAGATTTGACCTATCACTAAATCCTGTTGTTTGTGTAACTAGTGGCCAGTCACTTAGGTGTTAAGGTTGTTTGTGGCTCATCTCTGGCCTACCCTTACATAATTTCCTTTTCTCAGCAGCGTTTTAGATGCTATATCATTGCCTAAATAATGGCACTATCTAATGTCATTAATACTAATAGAATTACCTTATGCCCCAGAGGGATGATTGATCGTATTCTCTAGCATAAAGGTGGCCCAGAGACCTAGATAAATCATAGATATGTGAATGGATTGGGGGCTTGCACTTAATTCTAGCCCCAGTCAAAGAGCAATTCGTTTTTATGACATGGACCTTGATGCTCATCCTCCTGAAGAGATCGCTGAAAACATGACCGCCATAAGGGTGGTGAGGAAACTAGCCGGCTGTCAGAAAGAACAACGTCTGGGGTCTTACAGGCTTGTTTTCAAACCAGCAGCCTTCTAAGGGAGGCATCAAGTGAATTCACATGGAAGAAGCAACCAGTCTGTGTGACCCATGGGTTGTAAATAATAAAATCCAAAGAGGGAATGGTGCACACCTGGTTTGCAGAAGGCTATGGATGACAGTGGAAACTCAACAGCTATTTGCTGGGTCAACACACGGAGTAAAGCCTTAGGTGAATCTCCTCTGCCCATAGCTGAGCCATGCGAACAGCTTGGCTCTCCTGCAGAATGTGTTGGAAAGTGGATTAATGCTGGTGTATTTAGGTTAACCCTTAACACCTTATCCTGTTATCTCCCTTTGGACTCATTTAAAATTTGTTCTGGTTTTAAATATTTCCTGCTTTCTTTCAGGTTGGGATTTTTCTCTTTTTTTACTCTGTTATTTTTGTTAGCATGCTGCTGTTTTCTTTTCTGTATATGAACTCCTGGAGGGAGGGGGAAATCTACAGAGACAGTAACTGGATGAATGGCTTCTTGAGTCATGGCAGGGGAGGTTGGGGGGACATGGGAGCTAAGAATGGGTATAAGAATGAAGAAAATGTTCTAAAATCGATTGTGCTGATGGTTGGGCAACTCTTGTTAATATGATCGGCCTACTGAACTGTACAGTTTGTGAATCATATGCCAATAAAACTGTTCATTTTAAACATGGGAAAAACGGCCCCCTAGCATAGTGCCTACCTGCTGCCTCCTCTGTCTGAGAAGGCTGTGATGGGCCTCGGGGAGAAAAGGCACGTGCTAGGTGGGCTTTAGAACCACGGTGGCGTCGTGCAGTTTGAAACCACCAGTGGTCCAAGGGAGAAGGACGAGGCTTTATTCTCTAGTAAAGAGTTCCGGTCTCAGGATCCCACAGGGGGCAGTTCTGCTCTGTCCTATAGAATCGCTGTGGGTTTGAATCCACTCACTGGCAGTCAGTTTGCTCTGGGTTTTTAGCCGGGCTTCCTCGGGCCTGAATCACGGCGCAGCTGGTTATGAGCTCAACACTGATGAATCAGTCAGCCCTGCGGTGGGCTAGCTCTTGGGCTGCTAACTCCAAGAGTGGCGGTTCAGACCCACCAGCCCCTCCGAGGGAGAAAGAAGAGGCTGTCTGCCGGCCAGGTTTCTGTGCAGGTCAGTGGATTAAAAGTCCTAAGTCCTGCGTACTCGGTGTCCATTCCTGAGGTTGCTGCCAGGTCAGAGGTAATTTGTGTTTGCACTTATGTTAGTGTATGCTGTTGGTAAGCCTGAACGCAACATTTTATAGCAGAGAGTTTTGGCTTGAAATAGTCGGTCAAGAAATTAAGGTGTTTTAAAAACAGAAACGTACAGAAAACAAGGCTGTGTGTTGATCATGTCGGAACAGTGTGGTAATTGGAAGCCCCTAGGAGCCTAACCCTGTATTTCCCTTCGGGGCGAGGATTTATAGAGCAGTGATTTCCAGGAACCGTGAACATGGACCATCTGCTTTAATGGTTCAACACAGTGCACGGTTGGGCTGAGGTCCTGCCCGTCTAACCCCCTGGCCTGTGCCTCTCATGGACACTTTGCATTCTGCATCTTCCGATGACCAGTTTGACGCTGCTGAAGCCTTCTGTGAGCTCCCCAGGGGAACGCAGGGGACAGTGCTCACCGTCCTGCAGCATGCGGCCACTTAGCCTGGTCTGGGAGAAAGGAGACAGCAGGACTTGGAAAATGACTGACCACCCATGGGTTTTCTGAGAACCCCCAGCTGGTACCCACCCCCAGCACAATGTTTCAGCAGGTATAACAGCCAGCTTCGGCTTGCCGGTCCACCTGGGTATGACTCTGCTCATGGGAGGGGCTGGGCTCCTCGCTGGGGCTTAGGAGGTGGTGCTGGGAGGCAGCCATGAGTTGAAAGCCTGTGTGTGTGAATGCCCACGCTCAGCCCAGCCACACCGTGGCCTGCAACGTGGGCGATTTCACCAAGGCAGGCTGCGTGAGGGCAGGAGGCTGACTCCGTTTCCCACCCTGAGTGACGGCTCTCCTCTTGACAGACGGGGTTGGCCAAGTCCTCACCAGAAGGGAAGAGATTCCCATCTGCCCTCCTCCAAGGACCGTGCCGGGCAGCCTCTGTCTTCAGCCCAATAAGCACTGACAGTTAGTGACGGTTTCCCTTGCTCAGCTGCTTTCCGCAGACACATCTCTTACCCCATATTTGGGGAGTGGGGGGTGGTGGTAGAGGTGCTGGTGGTGGTTGAAGTGTTGTTGGTGGTGTTGGTGTTGGTAGAGGTGGTGGTGGTAGTAGTGTTGGTAGTGGTGG